GATTGATAGGCAGATGGTAGATGATAGAAAATACACACACACACACATACACACACATATATATATAGATATCTATATCTATATCTATATATCTATATATATATATATACACACACACACACACACACATAGTGATTTGAGGATAGGGCAAGTAGTAATTGAGGAAATCAGGAAAGAATTATTGAAAGAGGTAGTAGTAACACCCCTATACCCTGACCCTGCCCCAAGCTGCAAGCTGACAGTGTATTCAATATTTCATTGTAGATCCCACTTCTGTTCTCTGGGACAAAAAAAAATCTAAAATTAATTTATTTGAATTTAAAATTAATTTATTCTTAAAATAAACCCCTTTTCTCCTAAAAATGTAAGGCAGGTAAGGCATAGCAAAACATATTTTGTGTGTGTGATCTACTGTAAAACTGGGTTACAGAAAAAATATCTTTAAATGTAGAGCAGGGTTTCTTAACCTGAAGCCCATGAACTTTTTTTTAATATGTTGAAAACTTTACTTCAATATAGTTGGTTTCCTTTTTAATTTTATGCATTTTATTTTATGTGAAAACATTATTATAAAAGGGATCCATAGGTTTCACTAGACTGCCATAAGAAAGGTGGGGTACAGCCTATGACAAAAAAGAAGTTGAAAATTCCCGATCGAGAGTAACTTTATATCCTGACTAGATTTATAGTTTAATTGTATGATGACTTGTCAGAGAGTATTGCAGAGGCAGTTCACACAGTTGTTAGAGAAGACAACCTCCCAACTTTGAGTATCTATGATCTTGTATTCCATTTTCTAAACTTGTTATTGTTGTTGTTGTTGTTATTGTTGTTGTTGTTGAGTAGTTTCAACTGTATTTGGCTCTTCATGTTCCCATTTGGGGTTTTCTTGGCAAAGATATTTGAGTGGTTTGCCGTTTCCTTCTCCAGTTCATTTTACAGATGAGGAGCTGAGGCAAACAAGGATAAGTGATTTGCGCAGGGTCACACAGCCAGTAAGTGTCTAAGGTCAGATTCAAACTCAGAAAGATGTCTTCTTGACTTCAGGCTCAACACTATTCACTGTGCTACCTCTAAACTAGCACATCAGTACAATAGTTCAAGGTTTTCATAATAGGTTTTTCAGATCTAAATGTTTCCATTGTCTCTTCTGTTTGGTACAAAACAGGGATTATTAATCAGTTTTGTGCCATGAACCCTTTTAACAGTTCATTAAACTTCTGGACCCTTTCTCAGAATAATGGTTTTAAATGCGTAAAATGTAGAGGATTATAAAGGAAACTACTATACTGAAATATGCACATACAAATACAAGTTCATGAGCTTCAGGCTTTGAATCAATGGTGTAAAAAGCAATTCTTGTTCATTCTCTTTGGGAGCTTTTTGGGTGGGCCACATATTTGGCTTATCTTCAGGTTTCATAACCTCACAATCATCATACACGTGGTTCAATACAGGTCGCCAAAGATGTATCCGTCAGACTGCACCATGAACTTGAGACCGTGGAGGAAAAACGTGCTAAAGCTGAAGATGAAAATGAAACCCTACGACAGAAGATAATTGAAGTAGAAATCTCAAAACAGGCCCTGCAAAATGAGCTGGACAAGTTGAAAGAGGTAAGTAAGTGAAGACGTTTGGCAGTCTCACTTTTGATAAGAGATAGTTCGTCGATTTGGTTATCAATATCTGATAACCAAATTTAGAAAAGACAAATGACATTACAAAATGAAATATTTTCATTTTTTCAAATGTTTTCAAATAAAATGGAATATTTTCAAATGGAAAGTAGATCAATAGTTGGTTGTAAGGTGGAACCTTCCATTTCAGATAACTATCAGAGACCTGGGACACAAGATGGTGATCTGTTTTCTTAGGATCTAGTGAATGGGTTATTCATTCTCTGTATTTTCATTAGAATGCAAGCTCTTTGAAGGCAAGGATTGTTTTTGCGTTTTCTTTTTATGCCTGGCATATGGCGAGCCCTTAATAAATGCTTGTTGATTGGTTATAATATAAATATGGATATTCTTCATCTTGCAGAAGATGGGTGTTACAAGACACTTGTATATAAAGTCAGTTGCAGTTGGTCTTATTTTCCCTTGGATTTCCATTATTAGTTTGGAGAATCAGGTTGTTTTTGTTTTCGGTTGTTGTTGTTGTTCAGTCTGGTCTGACAAAATCCATTCAGGGTTTTCTTGGCAAAGATACTGGAGTGGTTTGCCATTTCTGTCCCCAGCTCATTTTATAGATGAGGAAACTGAGGCAAACAGGGTTAAATTGTCCAGGGTCACACAGCTAGTAAGTGTCTGAGGCAGGATTTGAACTCAGGTCTTCCTGACTCTAGGCCTGGTGCTCTCTCCACTGTACCACTCTCTCCATTAGCTGCTCCCCTTTATTAGTCTAAGATAATTATTCCCACAAATTAGGTCTGGTCCCTCACCCCCATTCCCCAAGAGTATCAAGTTGGCAACTGTTGGTGAATTAAATTCAATTCAACAAACATTTCTTAAGCATGATGTGCAAAGGATGGAGTAGTTGACAGATTGCCTGACTTCAAGTTCGTCCTGCCTCGTACACTTACTAGCTGTGGGACTGGGGGCAAATAATCGAATCTTTCTCAGCCTTATTTTCTTCACCTGTACATGTGGGATGACAGCACATACCTCAAAGGGTTATAGTAAAGAGCAAATGAGATAATATATGTAAAACACTTTGCAAACCTTAAAGAGCTATGGAAATGGTAGCTATTATTGTTGTTGTTATTGATTTTGTTGTTGTTATCAGGTGCTGGAGACACAAAGTCACAAAAGAAATAATCTCTGTTGACCTTACATTTATTTGTTTTAAGAAGGGCTTAAAATGGTCGCCAACCCCAGGGCAGTTCACAATGGCAAGTTTTTGTGTGATCACCTTGAGTTGCAAATAAATTTTTGATTCCAAAGTCTCCCTTCCATTGTCAGGTGTGCATTTTCACTCTTTAGTCTGTTGGTCACCTACATCTGTCACCACCACAAATACCATGAGACCACGGACATTTTTCCTGTGACTTGGAATTTTTGACTTTACACTTAAAAGTTTCTGAAACCTTACTTTTCAGCTTCTCCTTTTGGTTAGATTTGTCAAAAGGTGCCACCATATTAAGAGGTCCAGAAAGGAGTTTGAGTAGTTTCAACTGTATTTGGCTCTTCATGTTCCCATGAAGACCCAGAAAGGGTCCAGAAGTTTAACGAACTGTTAAAAGGGTTCATGGCACAAAACTGATTAATAATCCCTGTTTTGTACCAAACAGAAGAGACAATGGAAACATTTAGATTTGAAAAACCTATTATGAAGAGATATTAAGAGATTTGTCAAAAGGTGCCACCATATTAAGAAGTTTTTCCTGATGTCAAATGTAAGCATTTTGAGGCTGGATTATATTATCTTTTGAATTTTAGTCTTTGGTTGATATAAATCATATTAGTACTCTCTACTATACTTTTTGTATAGATGTTCAAAGTTTTGCATACCAGTTTTACTTAGAAAAAGGAATAGCCATTCAGAATATAATAGACTGAAAGGTATACAAATTCAGGCCCTTGAGTTTACATGAGGCAAAGATCAGTCAGTGAGTCAGTCAATAAGCATTTATTAAGACACTTCTATGTGCCAGGCACTAAGCTAAGAGGTAGGGATACAAAAAAAAGGCAAAAGACAGTCCCTGCCCTTGAGGAATCCACAATCATTTGGTGAGACAACATGCAAACAACTGTGTACAGACAAGCTAGATACAAGATATATAGGAAATCATCAACAAAGAGAAGGAACTAGAATTAAGAGGGACTGGGAAAATCTTCCTGTAGTGGGTGGGAATCTCAGGTACCAACCATACCTGGGAATATTCTACCTATAATACACTGACAAGTGGTCATCCTAAAGGGAAATACTTTCCACTTTAGACTTAATTGTTATGAAGTTTTTCCTGATGTCAAATGTAAATTTGCATCTTTGCAACTTAGTTCTGATGTCTTAGGCCAAACCAAAAAAAAAAAATTCTAATCAACCTTCCACGTGGCTGTTCTTTTAATACTCGAAGATACCTGCCTTATCTTTCCTGAGTTTTTTCTTCTCTAGGCTAAATATCCCCAGTTCCTTCAACAGCCCTTGTGTGGTGTGATTTTCCATTTCCTCACTCTCCTAGTGCTCTGGATTTTCTTTAGCAAATCAGTGTCCTTCAGAACCAGAATTTTATGGGAGATGTTGGAGGAGAATTGAGATCCCTCTGGGGACACTCACTTCCTTCTTTACCCTCTTTTACCTCTCCCCTCCGCTCCAATGCCCATTGCTTGCCTAATTAGCCTACTCTCACCTTGGTCCCTTTGCTGAACCCTTGCCCCACCCCCAGAATTCCAGGGCCTTCATGTCTCTCTTGCCTTGCCACTAGTTTTGGGCAGACTCTTCTCTCTTCTCATCCCAAGGGCTCTTTGGCCTGTTGACCTATGCCTCTTCATATGGTTTGATCAGTTGGGTGGGGCAAGAAGAATTTGGATCAGAGATTTAGAAGTGGATGAGATCTTAGAGGTCATCTAACATAATTCTCTTTTTATAGGAGGGGTAACTGAGAGGTTAAGTGACTTGCCCAAGGTTACTTACACAGGTAGTATATTACAGAGGCAGAATTTGAATTAAGGTCCTCTGATTCCACATGCAGTACTTTCCACTCTGCCATGCTAAAGTTTTGTGTACTAGCTATCTCCTCCCTTCCCCTTTTTCTACCCCATAAAAAATCCATCGAATTCATCTCCAGTCCTTCTCCTCCTATGCCCTCTGTTTCCACTGTGGAAAGATGACTGGGTTTAGAGTCAGAGGTCCCCATTCCAAATTCTGGTTCTTCTGTTTGCTCAACATCACACAACTAATAGGTTGCTTCACCCCTCTGGGTCTCCATTTCTTCATCTGGAAAATGATGGGATTGAATTGAGGTATTTATATGTCTGCTTTTCCCATTTCTTCTCTTTCCTTGTGCTCATTGAAACCTATCTCTCTGAACACACCACATCTCTTGGTACCTAACCTCTCTGAGGCTGCTTACTCCATATGCCCCAACCCACAGTTCCAGGAGGAAGACCACACTGCTAGCTCCTATCCTCACTTTCTGGCCCTCCCTTTTACCATTGTCACCTAGCAAACACATCTTTTTTGAAGTTCGTACCATCTCAGCTGTATCTTTGTTATTGTCAGCTATGAATTTCAAGTCATTCTCTCTCTCCTCCAAAATAATTTTAATATTTTACTTACAGTCATCTTCTCTATTCCAACCATTATCACTTTTGAAAATGCTACACTCCTAGTTTTTCAGTCTACTCTACTTGATTTAGTCTTATCTCCAGTTTACCTTAACAGCTCACAGGAGCAGTAATAGCTTAGATACCTCCTTAGATTACCACCTTTAGGTATCCCATTGGGAGTACTGTGAGAATCTAGTTATGACTCTGATATCTTTCCTAAAATGTGGCACTTAGTACTCCACATGCAGTCTTTTCAGGTCAGAGAACACCCTGTTATCCCTAGAAACTATGCCCTTCTTAAAGTAAGCTAATATCTAATATCAATTAGCTTTCTGGTGGTAATTTCATACTTATCTCAGATTGAGCTAGTAATCCACAAAACCCACTAGGGCTTTTCAGGCAAAGAACTATCTAGCCATACCTGCTTTATTTTATACTTTAAAGTTGATTTTTGAACCCACATGTAAGATTTTATATTTATTCCCACCAAATTATTGATTTATTCCATTCATCTCAATGTTCTAGCCTTTTAAGATCTTATTGCCTTTCTCCCTTTCAAGTCTTCTTACATTTTCTCAGCCTCCATGTACTCTACTATCTGGCTATACTGGCTTCCTCCCCATTCCTTACATAAGACAGTCAATGCTCCTGATTCTATCTATGTCTTTCCACTGATGGTCCCCCATGCTGGAATGTTCTCCCTCCTCAGGTCTGCCTCCTAGACCCGCTTCTGCAAGAGGTCTTACCCAGGTGTACCCCCACCACCCAATGCCTTCCCTCTGAAATTACCTCTCTCTCTCTCTCTCTCTCTCTCTCTCTCTCTCTCTCTCTCTCTCT